TTCTGCATGGTATCTCTGATACAAATCTTTCATATTCAATGTTTCGTTTTGGTGAGAAATATTCTGTTAACTTGGTTTTGGCAGTTTTAAAATCGCTTCCGGTTTCTGATAGCGTGTCAAAAACATCGTCTACTTCTTCACCCGCCCAGTGTAGTAACAGCGCGCGCTGGCGCTTGTCGTCTGTGATGTTGAAAGCAACAAATGCATTTTCCACCCTGTTCAGGTACTTCTTCCATCTTGTACTTGTTGTTGTTGGATCGGAGTGAACTGGGAACATCGGTAGTGATGGTAAACTCTCCATCCTCGTCGCCAATATAATGTAGTACAAAAGATAGTACAAGGAGACAACTTTCGTACAGTGCGTACAGTGACTTGGTGTAACGGTCAAGGTCCGGAGCCTCCATCTCACCTTTATTCCAATAACCCGGATGTGACATTACGTCATTAATACAACGTAAATAATACATAGGAGTATCGACATATAAGTATAATATTGGTAGATACTTGGACATTACAACACACTGTGGTTTCTCGAAATGCATACTAATTAGGTAACTTGTCACTGATAAAAGTCACCGAAAACATTTTGAGCAATTTTGAGCAATAGTACTAGAGTGAAATTTAAACGTGCCTCTGCATTCTCCATGAATTTCGTAACTTGCTATGATCATGGTAAAGAGAAAACCTATGCTTACTTTCAACAGTGAGCTGGAGTCTGATCGAAAACGTGTCTCAAAAAATACCTTTACATCATTTTTCCGATTATTTTTTCAGCTCGTAACGATAGAATCAGTCAATTTAGAACTAACATGTATGCTATCGGAAAGCATTTTGGCACAATATTACTGAAAAAACGAGTTTTTCATTGCTCATGAATATTAATTTATACAAATGAGACGATTATTTCAACCAGTCGTGTCATGTAACTCCCCCCCTGAAATACACAATGTATTTTACACGCGTTGTGTACGTCGCTATGAGTCCCATATCGAACAGGACGCGGCACGAAGACTGGCACTGAACGGAAACTTATCTACTGATGGTGTAGTTGGATACGCATCGGGAGCAAAGCCAGGCAATGTGGGACAAGGAAAGTGAATCATTCAAAGAAATGCATGAAAAGAAATTTATCGGATCTTTTTTTTTCATATATTTGATAACAAATAATCTTTTATTTTGAACAGATGTACTTTATGACCTGAAATAAATCTCCGTCAAACTTGGCCTTAATCATGATTTACAGTGACGGGAAATGTTTAAAGCGCGGTGGTCGTCGCACAGCGCGTGTTCGAATTTCATGTAAATACACAGTGTATTTTACACGCGTTGTATACGTTGCTATGAGTCCCATATCGAACAGGACGCGACACGACGACTGGCACCCTTTAATGATTGCTGATCAATTTTGGGAAAGTTACATGTAGTTTAACTATGTTTAAAAACGACTATTAGAGCGAAACTAAATCCAAATCCCCAAATCACAACATGCAACTTATATTACTGTAAAACCATTTATTTTCATTATTTGTGTGTTTTGGGCAATTTATCTGGATTTACGTTTACGAACTTGGTAGGAAAACAATGAATTATATTTACATGTTCACGTAGTTTAGCGAATTTTACTTACCAGCGAAAATAGCGAAATTAAAAACCAGGAAATAATGTTTACAGTATTCGCTGTCGGATTAAATTATATTTAACCTACTGTCGATTAAACAATAAAACCACTATAATGGAAATTATATCACGATTGTTAATAGTAGTCGTAGTTCATAGACTCGTCTAAAATTTCAAAAGCGCCATCACTGTTTATTTACATGCCGTTAAAACGAGGCTACTTCGTTTTGGTGATTGGCATCCTGCAAGCAGGAGTGCGCGGAACCGATGATATTCATGAATCACAAATCAACGGTGAATTAACGAATCAACAATTTACGAAATGTGGATCACTGATACTGTAATGTGTATTATTAAAGGACAATGGTCGTCGCGCCGCGTTCTGTTCGATATGGGACTCACAACGACGTACGGTACAGAACGCATGTAACATATATTGTTTATTTACATGAAATTCAACTTGAACTGCACGAAGACCACCGCCCTTTAAAATGTAAGTGTCGTTTGTGTAAAACAGAAATACACAACCGCCATTTTTAATATATTTTTATATTAATTATTCTTTTAACAGTGATTTAAATCATATATCAAGCCTTGCGCTCTAATCCTAATTCTCCCCAATTATTGTCTAATCCTACTAATCCTAACTCTCCCCAATTATTGTCTAATCCTACTAAATGATTACACTTATGTTATATATAATTAAAAATGACGTTGCTATGGTGAGATAATTGCAAAACTATTGTAAACTATTGCGTCACTTTTTTATTAATTGACTTTCTTTCTGTGAACCACGCTGGCCGTTCTGTATGCAATGGCTAGTAATTAAGTTGTCTATCTGTCATTACTTCATGAGTGTTCCTTTGGACCGAACACAATATCTCTACAGCGTAAGAGCTAACTGCCATGCGAGTCGAAGTCCCCGTATGTTCCTTTTTTACTACTATGACGTCACACACATCAACGCACGCTCACTGGACTGGAACTATACGTTATATTAACACGTGTTGCCACTGACTTATAATTGAAGTGAAGAGCCCGACACTGTGATGGGAATTCTACTTATAGTACATGTAACGGAAATGTACATACACCCGCTTATTGCGACCATTAACATGTGTTTTTTACCAACTGTTCAACGGAATCAAAATCAGGGAATTTTCGGTCATTTTTTGACAAGACTAATATTACTGACTTCTTACTTGACTGTCATCCAGGCAACACAGCGTCCTCATATTGTTTTTATATTAGCTGACGATTTGGGATATTTTGATGTTGGATATCGCAACGGCTCGATCGTCAAAACACCGAATATCGACAAGTTGGCGGCAGAAGGAGTGAAATTAGAACGACATTATGCCCAGCCATCGTGCATGCCTTCAAGAAGCTGCCTTATGATGGGTAGATATCAGGTAAAATTATTATCAACTTAAACTTAATTAATTGTTTTCTGTGTTACCATGTTTTTTTGATAGGAATGTACACGCATTTTCACTTGGAAGAACCGACATTAGGCCCACTGGTTGATATCACAATAATGTCTTCTCACACATGTCAGATTTGATTCTACGCTTGGTAGACTATGTAACTACGTGATTTCATCTAAAATAAAATATACTTTACAATACTATAATCGAATCTTCGTTCAATATGATGCTGTGGGACCCGTATTTGTATAATTTAATATTTAGATAGATGTGCCCGTTGTGGCGGATTATAATTCATTCAGAGCATGAAACCATAACATGGTACACGTCAGTATGTATTGTCGTATGCCTGGGTTAATTTCTTTCTCTGTACATCTGCATCACCATGTCACATCTGTCACTGCTGCAAATGTAGAGTTGAAACACGACCCACTACAGACGATTGAGGATTGACTTTTGTTGCACTCATTTTTTTTAAATATTTCACTCGAAAATGATCAAATAATGAGAACATACTTTGAAGCGAATTAATCTTTCAAATATATTCTGAAAATGAATTGAAACATTCACATGAAATGGGTTCGTTTTGTAATTCATTGTCACAGCTTGTAGAGAGATTATGGATTTTGTTTCTATAATATGGCAACTCTTATCTCCCGGCTTTATCACACGAACAATGCACGGGGACAGTACATATACCTATATACTAATTATCTCTGGAAGGGTCTTATGTCTTTTACCTCATTCAAAACCGTCATTTACAATATATTGTCTGAAAGCCTAGATATAGAGGAACACATTTGAACATACTAACGAGCTAGTCATTTGTTTACACAAGTGTCACGTGACAGACTAATTGTCAGTCCTTGTGAAAAAACATATATAAATGTGTGCAGACTGTTTCAAGGATCTGTTTTTGAATGTTTACGGAGAAGTGTTCAGCTCAGTAATCCACCACTTTGATGGACCATTATTCCGTTATAAACATTGTATTTTAAAACAAAGATAAAGTACATTAACATCTCTCATCGTGCTGTGAATCATCAACACGTGACACTAACGTAGTAACGTAGATTTGACGGGGATCCTAATGAGATAGTTACACTAATTTTTCAAAGTTGAGAAAATACATGAAAAGTGTAGTAACTACTAAATATGAAAGATTTGTTCTACTATTACAGAGGAACTGTGTATGATTACAACAAAATGCTGACAATGTATTGACCAATGCTGCTGTAGAACATATTAAACATGCTATTAAGAGAATCATTTCATACCAAAGGGCGCAAATTTGGGGGAAAATCGTCTGCATGCTGCCAGTGATATATTATTATCGATTGTCAGTATCGTAAATATATCAATCAGGGGATATTTCATTTTAAAATTTTACTGTTCAAAAACCTTCACTGACTGTATACAAATAGGCTATACTGATAACATTGTTTATGTATGTTACGTCTTCGTTTGAAGCTTGGCAGCAGGCAGAGCACTTACTGTTGTCCGGAAACTTCAACCCTTCATTATAATAGCGTACATTTTTAACCAACACAAAATTTAGCGTATCTGTAAGTAAAGGGATTTATTCATGGACATTCAAAGAGGGAAAAATTAGATAAATTTGAGTATCTACTCTGAATTACTGGACAAAAACTATTGCAAAGCTTGCTGGGTAAAATCCAAGCTCTGGTTCGTTTGGTTAAAACATGGAAGGTAAAAAGACCTTCCATGGTTAAAAGCTAGAAGCATGCTACATTAAGACCAAACATAAACAAACTCAAGGGGTAACACCTCTCCATTTTTATTCACAAGCCGCGAATTAATATGTATTATTTTAATACTTTATACCCTAAAATCCGATGAATAAATGAAAAGGCCGACTATTTACTGATCTGTCACCTTAGATTCGTACAGACAAAATACATTAGATACAAACACATCTCGAGAGCACAGCACTGAAACTATAAATATCGTAATAATACATTTAATGTTAATTTAACAGAAAAGTAAAGCATTGTACTTTTTTTGATTTATTTTTTATTTTATTTTTTTATTTTATTTTTACGTTAACCACATATATACAAACATATTAAAATTATCCCATCAAAAGAGGACAATTTCTACACAAAAAATCATGGTAACGAGATAATTATAAGAAAGTATTGTACTTCATGTATATTAATTTTGTTGCATGTTATATTTGCATTTAGGAGTTGGATGTGGTACAATAATTTTTAAAAATATATTTATACCACAATTATTGCCAGCAGAAACCACTCACGAATATAATCCCCACATAAATAAATAAATGCAGATACTGATATGTAAATAGGTTGTACAAGTAAGATAATATGTTATTGGCAGGACGCTGAAAGGTGCAACAGTATGGTCATAACAAAACTAAAACTAAGACATACACATTTGGACATAACAAGAAAGAATATTTAAATTAATTTTAATTTTAGATTTGATATAGACTAAGCTTATTCTGTTCGGTGTGGAAGCTGCTGTTTTATACATACACATTTTTCTATGTACATTTGTACTCTAACATGATTTCGGAGAATTTGTTGGTTACAGTTTATTACGGGATAATTACTTTCTGCTGCTGCGTTGTCTTTGCTTTTAGTATCTTTTAGTAAATAATATGGCTTCTTCCCACTTCACTTTTTATGGGTTTCTGCAGTTTCACTCTTCACATTTTATTAAAAAAAATCAATTCACTTCATTTTTTATAACATAAATATTCTTCACTTAACTTTATATAAGCATTCAATTATTATACTAATTAATATTACTCAGTAAATAGAAACTTTGCATTTCAGATACAATGATTTATTTCATTACAGATGTTATCAGGGTGAACAACTTTCATACTAATAAAGCACTATAGATAGTACTGCTGTTTCTGTTAGTCCTCGATTTGAATTACCAGTAGTCAAAAAACCGGCATATACAATATACCTTCTGTGCATCCAGTCATAACTCAGCTATATATTGTTTTTTGTCATCTTAAGCACATACATCTCATAGTGAGGACATGATGCATGTGCAGGAGTTCATGATTTGACCAAAGATATGTGACTACATGTATTTTATTTCTGTGACTGCTGGTAAATGAGAAGCATATTATAAACTCTTTCCCTGCAAATAGACTAATAATATCATCTTTGAAGTTCGGAAACAAATGCAAACAATAGACATTTATCATGATGCAATCATTTATTTAAATTTCTTGAACATTCATAATTGTTACATAAACAACATTTTCATGTTACTTTCTGTTTCAAAGCAGGATGAAATGTTGTAAACATAGAGACACTATTATAGCCATGCCGTAGTTGATTTATATTCTGAGTTGGCAAGTAATATTATCAATAATCATTAATACTTATAATAAATTTCAAAACAAGAATATGATAGTGCAATTATCTAATTCAGTGACATGACAAGCTTAAATCGGTA